CAAACATGGTGTGTATTATGGCATCCAAAGAGTACAATTTTTGTCTCATCTGACCAGACTATATTCACCAAGTATTTCACAGGCTTGTCTAAATGATGTGCAGCAAACTTTAAACAAGTTTCAACATGCTTTTTCTTCAGCAATAGAGCCTTGTGCGGTGAGCGTGCATACAGGCCACGGCAGTTGAGTGCATTACTTATTGTACTTATTAATTTCTTTGAAACAATTGTACATGACAATTCCAGGTCTTTCTGAAGCTCTCCACAAGTGATCCTTGGCTCTTGGACAACTCTTCTGATACCTTCTGATACCTGGCACCTGGTCGTGGCCGGTTTATGGTGAAATTATGTTCTTTCCACTTCCTGATTATGGCCCCAACAGTGCTCACTGGAACATTCAGAAGTATAGAAATCCTTCTGTAACCAATGCCATCTGTATGTTTTGCAACAATAAGGTTGTGAAGGTCTTGAGAGAGATCTTTGCTTTTACCTATCATGAAATGTTTCTTGTCAAGTCACCTTTATTTATATAGCGCTTTTAACAATACAGATTGTGTCAAAGCAACTGAACAGCATTAATTAGGAAAATAGTGTGTCAATAATGCAAAAGGACAACAGTAAACACTCATTTTTCAGTTAAAGGCAGTTCATCATTGAATTCAGTGATGTCATCATCCAGCTCAGTTCAGTTTAAAGTCTCTGTGCAATCAAGTCAACGATATCGCTGGAAATTAAGTGTCCCCAACTAAGCAAGCCAGAGGCAACAGCGGCAAGGAACCAAAACTCCATCGGTGACAGAATGGAGAAAAAACCTTGGGAGAAACCAGGCTCAGTCGGGGGGCCAGTTCTCCTCTGGCCAGACGAAACCAGCAGTTCAATTTCAGGCTGCAGCAAAGTCACATTGTGCAGAGGACTCATCTGGTTCCTGTGGTCTTGTCCCGGTCTTGTGTGACACGTTGGTCATGAAACACCTTTTTATAGGCCATCAGTTGGGACTGAACCAACTAATATTAATTTCCACAGACAAGGGGCAGGATTGCTTTCTAATTACTGATTGATTTCAGCTGGTGTCTTGGCTTTCCATGCCTTTTTGCACCTCCCTTTCTTCATGTGTTCAATACTTTTTCCCTGTGTCATTCTACTTTATTTCACAGAACTTAATTTCTGAACTTATTTGTATTGTTTGTATGTATGGATTAGTTGGGTTGTTACCGACATCTGGTGAAAATTTAATGTCAAAAGCACCTTTAGAAAATATATTTACTGAGAAAAATGGTGATGTGTTCAATACTTATTTTACCCACTGTATCTGCATATTTAATCCGAACATTTAAAAAAAAACGTGTAATACAAAACAAATGTCTTTATGTACTATAATTAATCAACATGGGAAGTATGATGATATCTAGAAGTTAAAATGTTTAACCTATTTTATCTATGTTGACAGTTGTGATAAAACTAAATATTAATACTAGAGTGGCAGTTTAATTTCCCAGTCAGGCCGTTATTTTATCAATTACTTACTTAAAAAAAATTATAATAATAATAAATGTATAAATAACGAAGAGAAAAAAATATTTAGCTATTCAAACTAAAGAGCTGGGGCACATAATAAAACACGCTCCTATCAGAATGAATAAAATCAATCAAATCAGGGCTACTGCATCCGTTAAAACATGAATATTAATGTTACGTATGTGTCATGTGTTGAATTATGTGTCACTCACACTTTATATGGTAACCGAGGGTCCGACGTCAGCGTGATTTTAAACGTTACTTTCGACCTAATGCAGAAAGAGACACATATTCACGGAGTTTATTTATAGATACTTTACTTTATATCGCTAAAATAAAGTGTTGTTTTATGATAAAAGGTTTACTTGCATTTTTCTGATTTGTATGACTGCACCGCACACTGTTTACACGGACCCGGCAGAAGCAAGGACCCGCTGTTACACGTCATCTGTTCGATGGACCTCTCTTTTCCGTCTTTTGTTATTTTTCCCTTTTTTTAATCTTCTAATGTTATACTTAATCGATTGGATCATACTGATGTATTTTAGAGAATTAAAAAAAAAATATGATGAGCAGATCAAACAGAAAGTGTTGCGGCTTGTACATTTCAGTCAGGCAAGTTTCAAGCTGACTTGAATTGGGTATTACCGTAAAGTGTGTTCTTAATGCACCCAAACTTTTAAGAGCATGTAAATTGAAGGGAAACAGTGATGCATTTTTTATATACAGCGGCACGAAAGTTATTTTGACACATTAGCCATACTTAAAATGTGCAAATACTTATTCCATTGCTGTAAAAACTAAGAAGTGGTATGCTATCTGCAGACAAATTATGCAGAACCTTTACTCTATCATAACTTAATATGATGGCCTTTAACGGCTAGTCTAAATGTCATAATGGAAAGGAAATCAGTTCCTTTTATAATTTGAAATTTACCAAACCTATTTTTGTGAAATGTTTTGAGTTTAAAGTGTGCTTGTGTTAGATTACTTCTTTACATTAAATTATTCCCACAAATAGGAAACAAAATGTTTTTCTTCTTCAATGAATGGTCAGATTTTGAGTTGGAGACAAACCTTTAGAAAACCTTAGGAAATATAGTCAACACCATTTTATTGTTAAAGCTATTTTATTTTCTGTCCATTTTAAGGGACATGCTAGGCTATTTTGGACATTGGACATTTGATGCGATTAAAACTTGATTACAAATTTTTAGATAATAATTGATCAAACATGTCTAATAAGTCTCATGACAAAATCAGTGTTGTTTGATCCTGTAATCTGTGCTTTAGAAAACAAATATGGAATTTAGAATACTTTTTAAAGCCATATTTAAATTGAATTAAATTAGGTCTATGAACCCTGTTTTAAAATAATTATCATTGTACTTTGTCCTTCAGAAATGTTCAACATCATGTATAAATAAAGAGGTACTGGAATTGAAGCACAAAGCAATAACTCAAAACATTTGAATTCATTTTGTTCACACCAGTAGTCAGTCACAGCTTTTTTTTTCTTACCCATTGCTGTATATGATATGAAAGTTAATTCACAGTCACTCTGGGAGGCCTAGTGTTGTATTTCACTCCTTTTTATCTGGAAAAACTGCATTATTTCTAGGCAGAAGTTCAGAGGACGTAGTAAGGACGTTAATTTTGTGTGTGTGTGTGTGTGTGTTTTATATCTCCAGTGCAGACAGCTGAACCAATGAGCCACAGGTTCAAAATAAGCTAGAATACCCAGGATCAGTGAAGCAACACAGATGGAAATAGGCCTGTGTGTAATACTCGCATAATTTTTCATATGCAAAAAGCCCACTTAGGCCCAATTAGGAATCGGGGGAGCACTGGTGTTGGAACAATTGATTAATCATATTTGAAATACACATTTGCCATAATCTGTTTGGCCCAGAGGTCTATTTTCTGGCTGGTCTCAGAGTGCAGCTTATAGCGCCAGCGGCTGCTGGATTTAAGGAGGGCTGGAAGCTAACTTGAGTCTAATGAGTCATCCTCATAAAGCCAACCCTGCTTGTGCCAGCATAGGGCACACTGCCAGCAGCTTCCCTAGAGGGACGGATTTAAGGAGGGCTGGAAGCTAACTTGAGTCTAATGAGTCATCCTCATAAAGCCAACCCTGCTTGCTGGCACCATAGGGCACACTGCCAGCAGCTTCCCTAGAGGGACATGTGGGTGTTGAAGAAAACAGACTTCTCAGTGTGACTCGAAACCCAAATTCACCAGACGCAGACAGTTTGCAGGAGTCCATTACGCTTTTGTCACAGGCTTATTGAAACCACTTAGATAAAGTGGAAAAGTTGTTCCTCTGAATACAAACCAGAGAATAGCTGCTCTGCATCATTATTGACACTGAATAAAGTTGTTTTCTATCAAATTTGAGCTACTGAGACCTCTAAGAATCTGCAAATCTTTTATCTCCAAATCGTGCCCAGAGGCAGGAGCCATGGCACCTTCAAAACACAAACATTCAGTTATGCGTAATAAGCCTTCAGTAATTAATATTACAGACATGTAAACCAAAAGACCTTTGAACAAAAGCCTGTTCCTTTCTTTGACAAACATCTCCTGAAGGAATTTCCTGACTCTGTCATCTAAATCCTAATCATGTCCCATGCTGAAGCTCGTAGTGAGTCATTTGTGGCGACAAGCAGCTGTGCGGTTCCCGTGGTGATAAGGATGAGATACAAAAATCATCGCTCATACTGTCAGATGAACTTTTTTGTACTACAGACAATCTAAGGAATAATTTAGCTGTGACAACTGAAGGCAGAAAATAGATGTGGTGCACATTTTAAACAATGCAGGATGTTGCAGGATGTTCTGGGGTGCGTTTCCCAAAAGCATCGTTAGCTAACTATGGTCGTTATTCCATTGAACTATATTGGTAACGACGGAACTTGCGACCATAGTTGCTTTTGGGAAACGCACCAAAGATCTGTTAAATGAGATGCAAACAGCTACTTGTTTATTGGATTTTAATTAAAATTTTTGAAAGAAACATGTAAAGTTAGTTACTGTTAGCAATGTATAATATAATAATAATGTTTAATAAAAATGGATAATATTTAGTAATGTATCTGTTGATGTGTTGTATTTTAACAAATTATTAGTGCAGATAATGTCATATTTATTGATTGGTTAATTACAAAATATGATGCAACAATATGATTCTACAAAAAGGATTTGTACTGACTTGTGTCAGTCATCACGGATTAAAAATAACAATATATAATATAATAATATAAAATAGCATTATATATAAAACATTATATTACAAGAATATTTATATTAATTATAAAATGATAATATAATTTAAATATAATAATTACAAAATGATAATCTAATCTAATTATCTAATATAATATAATTAGCATTTTTACTTCTGTATAAGAAGACCTCTTTACTTCTACAAAAAGATATTCAACAAGAAATATTATAAATAATACTCTATTTTGAATAACATTTACAAAGACAAGCATTTTTTTCTTGGGTCTAAAATGCAATAAGACCAGGAACATGCGATAACAAATTTAAATAAGGACAGTTTTTATTGTAATGTTTAACAGAAAAATTACTGTCTTATATCATCAGGCTCCATACAAAAATTAATGTCTTTATGTGTAAACCCATGTGTAATGTTTTTTTTCTTCCTCTTCTTTTTGAATTAGGACAGACTTAATTTAATGTGTGAAATGATAACACCTTCTTCTCTCCAAGCTTGTCAGAGTATCAGCATTAATTTATTTATAATGAAAGGGAGTATTTTGGAGAATTGAAACAAAGCCAGTTTCAGAGTCTCCTTGTTTGCTGTCCGTGGTGCTGAAAACCGAACTGTACAATCTAAAGCAAAAGACCTGAAGAAATTGTGTCAATATTATAAGAGCAATGCAACCTTACAGGACAAACATAGAAAAGCCACTGTAACTAAAGCAGGGACTGTTCGGGTTTGTAGTATCTTTTCCCCCAATCATTCAATCGATTTCAATAAGTGAACAAAAGCGAGATATCCAAGCAGTGAAATTTGCAATATGCGTTTTAAAATGGGTCATATTTTTGGAGGATGTGGAATCTTTGTTTGCTTTGTTTCTAAAAATAAAACCTTTCACACCTACACGTTTGGTCCTTCTGTACCATGATTTCACAGCCATTGTGTTTGCATTCACTGCAAGATTTTTATAGGCAACCATAGGACTTTATCATAGCCATTTCCTCTTCCATTGTCTTGAGTGTGACACCTCACCTGTGCTATAAATACCACGCAAAGTCAGTTTGTGGTTCCTCAGGGCTCGACAGCAGAATCTGGATGGCTATTTCGGGCAGAATCGGGTTGTTTTCAGGAGGAAGGAGGATTTGGACAGCTTAGAACATCTGCTGGCTCTTGATAAGGGCAAAGAAGTGTGGCATCCTCAGTGCAGTGGAACAGACAAGCGTTAAGGAGGCTCCGGACTGCCCTCAGGGATATGAGCTCCTAAATATCTCTACTTGCTCTTGTGCACAAAGTTTCTTGTCTGTTATTGATATAACAACAAAATACAGTGCATGTTTGTAATGTTGGAATTCAGTAGTTCAGTTGTAAAACTTAATAACAATATTAAAACTGAAAACCGAATAATGGAAAATAGTGACCAGGTCAAAACCAACATTTGTCTTTGTCACATCTAAATATTTTCTTACTGTGCAATTCTTAGTTCATTCCGGCGCTACTATCTACTATATAGATGCATTTTGGCTGTATTTGAAAGGTGAACTAGTTATTTCTAAAGGTTAATGTTTCAGTTAAGCCTGGAGGAGAGACAAATGACATAAAAACCGAGCCATTTGAACATTCTCAAATACTTGACACTTTTTCAGTGACTGTGATTGTTTTTAGTGAGTCATAAACTGATTCAACCGATTTGTTCAAAAACGATTCGTTCAGGAATGAAACAAGTGAGTGTCTAAATGAATGAATCATTGAATCATTTACTAAGTCAATTCAAACACACTGATTAATTAAAGAACAAAACACCACTACTGTGAGTTTCACAGACTGTAATAACGCACTGCCACTGTTACATTGTAAATCTATTTTTTATATTTTGTAAAAATCTTAATGTATATTTATAACAATATACTTTGGTTTTCTTACCTTTTCAGTTAATTACATAAACATTACATTAAACTACATAAAATGCTACTAAAAAACATTTATTTGTTGTCATTAATCCATTGTTTAGTTTGTATTTAATTGTATCTTAAGAAAATGTAGATTTAAAATTATAAAAATAAATGAATGAATTAGGAACTATTTGTCATGTATAAAAACCCCAACGTTTCCGGTAAAACCGAGAGCAATACCAGTGCCAGTCATTTGATAAAATGGGTCTCTTTTGTGGCCTGGCAATTCTCCCCATTTACGATGTTTAGAAATGCTAACAACTGGCACATCCCCTTTGAAAAGAACAGGAGAGTGTGTCATTTAGCCTTAAGCACATCTGAATGTACCTGTCAGGAATCAATTGGAGTGCTTGTGCATCAAAAGAAATAAAAAAATTAAT